CAGTGGTTGCACCAGTCTACACTCCCACCAGCAGTGGAGCAGGGTTCCTCTTTCCCCACAGCCCCGCCAGCATTTGTTATTGGTAAAACAACAGCCATTTATTATCACATGAGTTCTGATCCTAGGAATTCAGGTTAGGATCTCTCATGAGGTGGCAGTCAAACTGTTGGCCAAGGCTCCTGTCATCTGAAGGTTTGGCTGGAGCTGGAATACCCTCTTTTCTGATGGCTCACTCACACAGCTGTTCTCAAGAGACCTCATTTCCTCTCTGTCTGTTGACAGCAGGCCTAAAAGTCTTTTTACCACTTTGGCCTCTCCACAGAGCTGCCTGAGTATCCTCCTCAGGGTGAGATTGAGGGAGAAGTTGGGGTTAGGATGGTTCTATTTTTTGTTTGTTTGTTTGTTTGTTTGTTTGTTTTGGTACTGGGGATCAAACTCAGGACTTTGTGCTTGCAAAGCAGGTGGCAGATCCACTGAGCTAAATCCCCAGCCCAGGATGGTTCTATTATTGACACAGGATTGTCTTACAAGCTCTTCTCAAAAGTTTTCCAAGTTTTGATGATGGTATTCATTCCTTAAATGAGAAGTATTTGTGTCACAAGTATCAAATTAATATTCTACTTTCTGTGTCTCTTCTGCTTCCAGAATAGGTTTTATTTCAATACTAAATCTTAATACAATCATTTGATGGCATTTCAATGACATTGTCTTTATCTGTTTTCTGCTGCTATAGTGGAATGCCTCAGACAGGATAATTTATAAAGAACAAAAATGTATTTCTTGTAGTGCTAGAGGCTGGGGAGCCCAGTCTCAAGACACTGATATGTGAAGAGGACTTTGTTGCTGCATCCTCATGTGGTGCCAAGGTGGCGGGTCAAGCAGGGATGAACATTCTGTCATTTCATAAGAGAAAAGGAGAAGAAAGTAACCCCATGAGCACTTTTTATAATGGCATTGATGTATTTATGAAGACAGAACCCCCATGACTTAAACTCCTCCCAACGCTGCTATATTGAGGATTGAATTGGCAACACTTGAATTTTGGGCAACAGATTCAGACCATAATAGGCATTAAATTTAATGCTTATATTACAATTAGTGCACATACCTCAGTTGAAGTACCAACCAAATTAGTGTTTATGACCAGGTGTTTATGTGATCTAGCCTTGAGATATGACTACTGCTTGGAGCCATCTGTTATGAAGTACACGGTGATTTGAGAAGTGATAGAATGTGGAGGGAAAGTATCTCTAAGAATCAAAGAAATATGGCAAATAATTTCTCCCCAAGTCATGCTGGAGTAGAGTAGATCAAAGTCTTTTGCAGGTAAGTTTCTTTCCTTCCAGTTCCAAAGCCTTACAAACTCATATACTGAGGCAGAAGGAGCTGTAAGTGGGTGATTTGTGACAAAGATTATTATGCAGGTTATTTCTAAAATATTTTATTTTTGTTTCAGATTTATAAATAAAAGAAAACTCACTCTATGACTTTATTTAACTTTTTTTTAAGGGATAAAGATCACTCTAAACCCAGAGTCAAAGGCAGTCTTGGCTGGACAGTTTGTGAAACTATGTTGCCGGGCAACTGGACATCCTTTTGTACAATACCAGTGGTTCAAAATGAATAAAGAGGTAATTTTAATGTCCTTTAATTCTTCTGATATAAGAAGAGAGAAAGCTAGGAAATTATTTTCCTAAATGTGATTTTAGGAACTGAGTTAAGGAGTATAATAGACATTGTTGTGTTATTACTAAAGTATTCAATAGTTGTTTTGGTAACCTGAGTCCAAAATTGTCATACAAAAAAATGTAAACAATATGAAATCAATTTTCCACTCTAAAAATTGTGGAAAGTAGGGATTACGAGGTCAATAATGTTAAATAGGAGCCATCACTGGTACACTGTAACATTTCTACACAATTCTTTTCAGCAGATTATGTTCCAACTAAAATTTTTAGCTAAAAGATTTTCAGAACTACATGGAATGCTAATGCAATGCAATTATTTTAAGAGTTCCACATGACTGTATTATATCAAAATTTAGCCATTCGTTTTTGCTGGGAACCAAACCTCAAGGCTCACTTAGTATACTAAGCAAGGCGCTTGAAGAGCTGTAATAGATTTTAAAACCCTAACAAGTTGAGTTTTATCAGACCACTCTTATGTTTGTAGGTCTGTTTGAAGAGATACAAGTACTGGTTGAGTACCTGTTTTGTGCTAGGCCTTGTTGTAAGGTGGGTGTAATGATGCAGCAAGGATTCACAAGGTCTCTACCCTCAAGAATCCTGTACCGCAGTGAGGAGAGAGAGAGAAAGTAAGACAATGAGATCACATCTGTGAATTCAGAGTTAGGAAGAAAATGAACAGGGTGATGATAGAAAGTGAGAAGCCAGTAAAGGTTCTAAGCCAGGGAGGCAACATGGTAGGATTGTATTTTTGACAAACTTGGTACTTGAAGGAAGTGGAGAATAGCAAGAAGACCAAGTGTCTGATGGTTGTGCTTGACTAGAAAGAGCTGTGGTGTGGACTCAGATACAGCAGTGCAGGTGGATTTTGAGGCATACTTCAGTATGTATCTGAGAGATGGAAGTAGCCAAACCAACAAATTAGATGTGAAGGATGAGAAAGAAGCAAGAGAAATCCAGAGTGACTACAAGGCTTTTCACTTGAGCATCTGTGACCTGTTTATACTGAGATGTTGAGAATACTGGAGAGGAATAGAGTTAGGGAGAAGAATCAGGAGTTTGATTTTGACATATTAAATTTGACATGGCTATTAGACATCCGCATGAATCAGTTAAACTCCTTAGATATCTGAGGAGACAACATTGAGAATTACATAATGAGGAAAGGTATGGGAATAACAAATAAAGAGACTAAGAAGAATAAAACAGTGTTTGAAGAAGAAAAGAGTGCCCAGCTCCTGAGTACAGCTGAGAGGGGGTGTGAGGTCAAGAGAGGATTGTTTGGTTTATTTAAGATAGAAGGTATTAGAGTATAATTTTGACAGTGATAGAGTAAAGGGGAAAAATAGATGCTGAAGCAGGAAGAAAACTGTAGAAGCAAGGTTGGAGAGGATGGAATTGTTGGGAAGGAAAAGCTTTTCCTTCAACCTCTTACATTCAGCCCTGGAGACCTGTGAGTTAACTGAAATGAAATGGATTAACAGAAGTATGTTCATATGACTACACTGCAAAAGTACACTACAAAAGTAGTGTAGTAACTTGCTAAAATAAAGTTTGAGGCTTATATATCTAACTTACTAGAAAAAAGAGCTTCTAGGGGAAGATCAAATAGATTTCTTCAGGATAGACAAAGAGGTTTATAGAACTAGGAGAGGATAGGACAGTTCATGGTAATCTTTGTTTATGCAGATGTTGGGTTCTTTCCTCTTTTTAGGGCCATAAAACTCCTTAGAAAAGAGTCTCCTTTCTGGTCTTCTTCCTGGGAGTAAAAGCCACTCCAAGAGGGAATTTATGGCAGCCTTGTTTCTCAGGAATTCCTTCTCTTAGTCAGATGAGGGGAGCCCAAGTCTCTGCATCTGTTGAATTTGATGCCTGCAGTTCAATACAGTCGTCATACCAGGTCTGGGCTTTCAATAGATCCCCACATCTCTTCAGCCCAAGTAGCCTTTGTTAGAAGATATATCTTCCATCTTAGCTAGAGGGAAAAGGGCAGTTATAAATAGATGTGGACATGGATAGATTTGTGATTTGCTGATAGGAAGAGGAGAGAATTCCTGTCTATAGTAAGTGCTGACAGAAGCAGGATTGCAGGAGGTTTAAGGAGAGACTGGTTAATCACACTGTAAGAAAAGCAGGATAACGTGATCCGATTGTCAAGCACCTCCGAGTGCAGCCTGTTGTCCCAGGTGTCCCATCTTCGGTGAAATGCCCTTCTTGTGCCCCTGAGGGGAGAGTTGAGTTCAGTTCCTCAGGGTTTGGAAATGGAGAGCTGCAAGCTTGTTGAAGTACACTACCTTAAAAGGATATAATATTGAGGTACTTGAGGAAACCCCTTGGCAGGGAGCCAAAGTTGGGTGGGGCTGATAAATTGCTAGGAGCAGCAAAGAGGAAAGAAGTCTAACTGGTGACAAAATCCCAGTACACAAAGCTTGGGAGATGTTGGATGGCTATTCCCTCCCATCACTTACACACACTCATTATCCCCTCTCCAACCAGACCTTGAAAGAAGCTGGATATGGTTTGGTTAAGGACTCTATCCTATTATAGAAATTTACTGATGAGAAAATTGGGTCTCCAGGTAAAATAACTTGACCATATACTCATAATTTGGTTAGAACTGAAAGTAACCCCAAGGACTGATTCTGTGTGCTCTTTCCACACCATTGGTGTTTGTGATGTGTTGTATGCCGCATAACTCATAAAGGTGGCAGGTGTAGGTTCTTTCAACACCAAATGATTGAACTATTTCAATGGCAGAACAGATGGTTTTCTTTTGTGAACTTCTGGAAGGTATTTGAGGGATGGTGTACCTTCCTGGTTAATGGGTTTATTAAAGACTGTGAATTTCTAATACTTCAATTCTAAGTGATTCAAATGTTATTGTCTGTTTCTTTACCAACAGAATTTTAAAATGTGGATGGAAGATTAAAGGCATGCTTTCAAAGCTCCATACTAATATACACTTTGTGCAGCAAGTTTTATAAGATGTGTTTTTGGTGGATCATTCACTTATATTCTTGTTGATTCTTTCACAGATTCCATATGGAAATGCATCAGAACTTATTTTTAACGCAGTGAGTGTAAAGGATACTGGCTTCTATGTCTGTCGTGTTAATAATAATTCTACATTTGAATTCAGCCAGTGGTCACAGCTAGATGTTTGTGAAGTGACAGAAGTAACAGAAACCTTCCAAAGTAAGTGACAAAAGAAATTTAATGTTGATTGTTAGATCACCTAATTTTAAGTGTTTACTTTAAAATAACTTCAGAGTAGGAAGAGAAAGGAAAAATTATGAGAAAAGAAAAAAAATGGAAACGAAATCTATGTAAATAGGGAAGGGTACACAGGTAATGGGGAAAAAAATAAGAACCAAGATACACCATGTACAGGTACAAGCACCCAATGGTAAATGTAAGCGTATTGTATACCTAAAATGTACCAATAAAAGAATTTTTAAAAAATAAAAA